TCCTGCATATCCAATATTTACATTATGATTTGTAACAGTAGCAAAATGACAGTTATGAAGTAGCAACGAAAATAATGTTATGGTTGGGGGGTGGGGGTCACCACAACATGAGGAACTATATTAAGGGGTCGTGGCATTAGGAAGGATGAGAACCACTGTCCTAAATGATGTCAAACTGCATTAATTCTACAGTGTAGATATGCCCCAGATCTTACAGTTCTGATTGCTCTGATTACTGATTGCGCATACACACGTGTAGAAATGCTTGGAAAAAATCATTTTTTGGCTTACTGCTCTCCTAAAAAAACTAACTTCCAGGATTCTGGAAGGTACATTTCAAAAAAATTAAATTTCCAAAGCTCTGGATTTTGTCATATTGACATGTTTTACATATTTGGATTTCCTTGTCCTGAATGCTGGCTGCCCCGAGTTTGGCAAAGCCTGTCATTGTTTCCACTTTCTGAGACCTGATCAAAGATCAAATCGGTGACATCTGAGAGCAGGAAAACACACTATCAGGAGGCTGCAAACAAAACCATGCTAAAGATAACGTTTGGGAGGGCAGGAGTACACATTGTTCCACGGGATCAAATAATGTAGTTGCCAGGGACCTCTAGGCATTGGAACTGTGCTAGACTAGAGAAAATATCAGCAAAAGAGCCAATCCACATATTGACATATTCACCCAAAATACTTCTGGTCTCATATCTTTTGGATAGCCTCAACAACAAAAAATAGAGCACAAATAACTTTGTATCATAATTGAACATCTTGTTCTTTAGCACTGACACCTGACTGATCCATCCCTATGCCAATACATTGTGGGAAGAGTGAGATTTCAGGGTCCCATCAGACTAACTGTTGAATGTGAATTAAGTACACGGTTTGGCAGTAGAATCTCGCTGCTATATAAAATCCATCTTATCTGCTTTGAACTGGATTATGTGGCAGTGTAGGCTCATGCAATCCAGTTCAAAGCAGATGTTCTGGATTATATGGCAGTGTACATCAATCCTAGGTGTATAAGTATGCAGGAGAACAGAGGACAGAACCAACCTAGCCCTTTCCAAAAGGCTCAGGCAAAAGTAAACTGCTGCAATGTTCTTCCTCACTGATAACGTCTGCTGTTTTGACCGCAGCCTGATGTTTCTCAGTCAGTTTTCATCTGTGCAATGTTGGCGCATATCTCCTCTGCATCCCTCTGAAGGTAGGAGAAGTAGGACCATCTAGATACAACACTATGATTTTGCGCTGACTTTTCAAGTGTGTGTGTGTTTAAGTAAGTCATTGCTACACTCATTTGGAAACAGATATATATGTCTCTGTGTGTTCCATATGCCAATGTAGGTGTGCAGCATCATTATATAGCTTCTTCCCACTCTCTCACTCCCCCCTTCCTTATTCTCTTTCTCTCGCTTATCCCCCCCCCCATACATACACATATATATTCTAATAGGGAGTGAGCGAGCAAACTGGAAGTAGGTGCAAATGCGAAGGTAAATTTGGACTGAAGTGTCAGGTACAAGGGTAGAGGAAGAGCCAGAAGTGTATATGAAACACAAGAAGAATGGGAGAGACATTTCACAGCCCTAAAATAGATGAAGGAATCTAGTTCAGTGAAACAATAAAACCTGGCTCAAGGGCCATATGTGTGTGAAGTGCTTGATTAAAATGGGAATTAGGGAAATTAGAAGCAGCCCAGCACACACACAATCCAGCTCTCCGCCTCAGTAAATAGCGTCCCAGTCCTAACTCTCAGCTCTTTTGCTACACTTCTCCCAAAAATCCAGGAGCTTATCTTTTTCTCCCATCATTCTTCCAAGGTGGACAGATGAGTATATATGTGGGTTGTTGTGTTCCGGGCTGTATGGCCATGTTCCAGAAGCATTATCTCCTGGCATTTTGCCTGCATCTATGGCAGGCATCCTCAGAGGTTGTGAGGTCTGTTGGAAACCAGGTAAGTGAGTCCCCCCTCGGGGGTGAGAAGGGCAGGGTAAAATATAGGAAATTTTTAAAATATATAGGAAACAAGTGGGGTTTATATATCTGTGAAATGTCCAGGGTGGGAGAAAGAACTCTAGTCTGTTTGAGGCAAGTGTGAAAGCAGCCAAGCCTTGAAACTGCAAGGCGATTCAGTGAAGGATTCACACCTTCCTCAAACAGACAAGAGTTCTTTCTCCCATCCTGGACATTCCACAGATATATAAACCCCACTTGCCTACTTTCCAACAGCCTTCACAACCTCTGAGGATGCCTGCCATAGATGTAGGTGAAACATCAGGAGAGAATGCTTCTGGAACATGGATATTCAGCCCGGAAAACTCACAACAACCCAGTGACTCCAGCCATGAAAGCCTTTGACAATGCATTGAGTATATCTGTGTTTTCCCCTGACCAACATATAACCCTGCAAGGTAGGCTCAGTAGAGAAAAGCTGATTGATCCAAAAGCCAGAGAGCTCTGAGATTTGAACTTAGATTTTCCCGAGCACCAACCACCTAAACATTTTTTAGAGATGTAGGTTAATATTTCTGGGGAATGGCAGAGCAAATCCCAAGAAAATATTGGAGCTCAGGCACAGTAATGGAAGTATACAGAAAAAAAGAAACATCTTTGGCTTATCTCTGCTTCTGCTCTGCCTCTTAAACTGGGATCTAGGATGAATCTAGGATGCACTATCAGGCACTCCTTCAATTGCCTATTTTGTTTTAAATATCAGGTTCACCCATGATAAAGGCCTGATTTTTTTTGTCCCAACTATCATAGGTATCCTTTCTCAAAAACATTTCATGCCCGTAACCATGATATCTTATTATTTATTTATATATGATTTATTATTATATTACTATATTATATTTATATCTTATAAATAAATAAACATTCATAAATAAATATTTGCAAAAACTTAAATAGCATAATATTTGTTTATATCTTATTTCTGGACGTTATTATGCTTTGTGTGATTTTTGACTTCTTTATGTTAAATGTGCTTTGATTTGTATTATATTATGTTGTGAGCCACCTTGGGTCCCGTTAGGGAGAAAAGCGAGATATAAATAAAATTATTATTATTATTATTATTATTATTATTATTATTATTATTATCATTATCATTATTTGTGTCAGGAGCGACTTGAGAAACTGCAAGTAGCTTCTGGTGTGAGAAAATTAACTGTCTGCAAGGTCATTGCCCAGGGGATGCCCGGATGTTTTGATGTTTTACCATCCTTGTGGGAGGCTTCTATCATGTCCCCGCATGAGGAGCTGGACCTGACAGAGGGAGCTCATCCGTGCTCTCCCTAGATTCAAACCTCCAACCTGTTGATCTTCAATCGTGCCGGCACAAGGGTCTAACCCATCTCACCACCAGGGGCTTCAATTTTTATTATTACCCATCTAGACTGCCATATAATCCAGTTTCTGAATTCAGATTATATGTTCTGAAATCCAAGTGAGGATCACATATCTTTGCTTTTGAGTTTAGAAAGGTGAACATAAGCTACTCAATATACAAGAACACTAGGAGACCAGAGTTTGAATCCTCAGCTCAGCCATGGAAACCCGCTCAATAGACTTTGGCAACTCACAACTTCTCATCCTTAAAGGAAGACAATCACAACCCCCTTCTGAATCAATCCTGCTCAGAAAAACTCATGATACTTTCTCCTTAGGGATGCCATTTGTGGGAAAGGACTTGAGGGCACGCAACAATGACATACTCTCTCCACCTTCAGAATTCTACTGTTTCACCACATGTTGGCCCTTTAAACCAGTATAGCCCCAGGATAGGCCTTCCAGTTCACTTCCTGCTCAAAAATAAGACCCAGCGTATGGAAGAATGTGTCTAAATTCACCCTAAGGAATATTTGGCACTAAAAAGTTTTGGCTCTTGGAGTCCACATGGGCAATGCTCCCTACATCCAGTACTGATGGGAGGACATTCAACTTCTATAGGTAAAGGCAAAGGCTTCTCTTGACATTAAGCAGTCAGGCGTGTAGCCGGGGGGGGGGGGGGCTGGGGGGGCCTTCACCCCCCCCCCCCGAAATTCTCATGGTGGTTCGCGAAAAGGCCTTACTGGTGCATTATTTAAACTGTTATGTTTATTCATATCATGATCTGATCACCATACTCAATATATCCCATATGCATGGGGGTATTGAGGTAATGATACAAAAGGTTTGCTAGGGTAGACCCTCTTTCACTCGGACTCAGCCCCGCTCCCCGAAACTCAGCCCCCCGAACCCCCCCTGAAAAAAATTCAGCCCCCCCCCCCCCCGAAACGAAATCCTGGCTACGGGCCTGAGCCTAGTCATGTCTCTGGGGGGTGCTGCTCATCTCCATTTCGAAGCCGAAGAGCTGGCGTTGTCCATAGACGTCTCCTAGGTCATGTGCCCAGCATGATTGCATGGAGTGCCATTACTTTCCATGGTACCTATTGATCTACTCACATATGCATGTTTTCACACTGCTAGGTTGGCAGAAGCTGGGGCTAACAGCAGGAGCTCACCCTGCTCCTTGGATTCGAACCGCCAACCTTTCGGTCAGCAAGTTCAGCAACTCAGCGGTTTAACCCACTGCGCCACCAGGGGGAAAAGGAAGAAAAATCACAAGGAAGGAAGGTTTGAATTTATGAGAACCTTCCTATGAGCAAACAGGACTTTAGACCACAACCTTTCTCCTCCAAGCCCAAGAGACCTCACACCCTTCTTTGTGGATGAAAGCCTATTGGAAAGTGCTTCCAAGAGCATTTGGAGCATTTGCCGAGCATGCTGCCTCCCTGAGCACAAATTTGCTATGGGCAATCCCTCCACCGCCATCTGGACTCATAAGGCAAAGGGGGTGTAGCTCCAGCCCCCACAACCTCCCTTATATGAAATTCTATTTCATTTTCCCATTGTGATCCTGGTGCATAGCTCCGTTTGTACTTTCGTGACGTGTGGTGCTCTAATTACGAACCAAAGAACCAACTCAGTGAGGAATGAGAGAAGAAGGTTCTTACCTAAGCATTGCAGCCCCTGCTTTCCAATTCCCCTGCAGGAAACGAAAGAAAAGAAGAAGAAAAGAAGCAGGTTGTTAGCTCACTTGAAGCGTAGGATGCCAGTTTAAGCCCGCACATTTCTCAAATGTGGCATTCACAAACATATTGATGACAAGGAAATGGAGGATACACTTGATTGTCAAGAGAATCTTTGGCAATGGTTAGACCACATGGAAGATGTATGGAATTTAGACGTGCCAAATCCTCTGGAAAACAAAGGAGATCTTTGGCACCATGTCTGTATGGAACCAGAACCATTTACAATGGATTAATTAACAGAATAAAATTGTCTTCTACAGTCATACTCTGTATAAAGGTGAGCTGGAATCCAGAGTAGATGGTGGGTCAAAGCATACCAGTTCATTACTTTGAATGTGGTCACAGATGTGTGACCAATGCCAGAATTCTTATTTTCTTGAACATGTGCAGTGAACCATACTCACAGGTAAGTTAACACATGGTGAGAGGATAAGGTTACACATTGTTAACATTGCTAACAAGTCATGACAGCTTTGGACGTCCAAGGCCACATATTAATTCTTCAGTTTTTCTCAGAAACCTAAGAGCTTATCTTGGGTTATATTGTCGAAGGCTTTCCTGGCTGGAATCACTGGGTTGCTGTGAGTTTTCTGGGCCATATGGCCATGTTCAAGAAGCATTCTCTCCTGACGTTTCATCCACATCTATGTCAGGCATCCTGAGAGGTTGTGAGGTCTGTTGGAAATTAGGCAAGTGAGGTTTATATATCTGCAGAATGACCAGGGTGGGAGACAAAACTCTTGTCTGTTTGAGGTAGGTGCATTTGAGGTAGATCAATTGCAGTATTCACACCTACCTCAAATAGACAAGAGTTCTTTCTCTCACCCTGCAAATTCCACAGATATATGAACGCCATTTTTCTAGTTTTCAACAGACCTCACAACCTCTGAGGATACCTGCCATAGATGCAGACACAACGTCAGGAGAGAATCCTTCTGGAACATGGCCATAAAGCCCCGAAAACTCACAACAACACCCGGGGTTGACAGTAACCTGCATCAAGGAATGCATCTGCCTTGAAATATAAACAAAAGAATGGGTGCTACATGCTTAAGACCTACTTGTGGAATTCCCAGACACATCTGATGAGCTACTGTGTGGACAGACTGCTGGAGTCCATGGTATCACACTCCCCAATTGTCCCAGATTGGTAGGAAAAGCCCAGATTGATCCTGTATTGTCCCATTTTTTTTTACTGTATTTACAATGTCCCACTTTCTTTCCCCTCCTCTCACTTTCCTCCAAGGTTGTAGCCCTCAACTTACTTCAATTACTGCAAAAGTGCCAAAGTAGTTTGTACTCTATCAACTCAGGAGAAGAAAGAAGAGAGTAGAACTGTGCCCTTCCCTGGAGACTCAAGCAAAAGCAAACTGCGGAAGCCTTACTTGTCTATTCTTCCTCATTAACAACATTTGCCATCTTGACCACAATGTGACATTGCTTGGCTGAGAATGTCCCGGTTTTCATTGGGACAGTCAGCCTTCCCTATTTACAGGTCTGACTTCTGTGGATTTGATTATATGGACTTACAAACACCTAGAGATGTGTCCTTTCTAGGAATTTCCTCTAGTGTTGTGCTGGAGGACCTATAGATTTCTAGAAAGAACACATCTCTAGACATTGTAGTTACTTCATAGCCATTCTGATAGAAGTTGGTCAGAGTCCTACTTGAAGATCCACTGGCTGCCGATAAGTTTCCGGTCTCAATTCAAGGTGTAGGTTATCACCCATAAAGCCCTAAACAGTTTGGCACCTACTATCTTTGCAATTGCATTTTCCCCTACAAACCTGCACAATCTCTAAGATACTCTGTGGAGGCTCTCCTCTCACTCCTACCCCCGTCACAAGCACGGTTGGTGGGGATGAGAGAGAGGGCCTTCTTGGTGGTGGCTCCTCAACTCTGGAACTCTCTCCCCAGGGAGATTAGGCTTGCACCCACCCTGTCCATCTTTCACAAAGATCTAAAAATGTGGATGTTCCACTGTGCTTTTGATTAGACGATTCCCCAGAAAATTTTTTTGTCCCCAGCTATGTCCCAAAATCTAGTCCTTTGCACTTTACAATTGTTCCCCACCCAGAGATATAGTGTTCTACTTCATATTGCCCTCCATTCCCTAATTCTGTCATCTTGCATTTGTACTTTATTCATCAGCCATGTCCTCACAACTGATTTGCACCAGCCTGCCTGCCTGAGCCCAGAAACCGTTTACTACTTCAGGCCACCGGTTGTTTGCTTGCCGGTTGCTTTTATACTGTGTCATGCTGGTGTTTGTTTTATATTAGTTTAGGACACTGTTTTATGAATTTGAATGTGTTATATTTTAACTGTGTTGATCAGGCTTGTCCCCATGTAAGACGCCCCGAGTCAAAGGGGATGGAGGTGGGATACAAAATAAAGTTGTTGTTGTTGTTATGGAAAGATTCCATCAGCGCTGCCTCTAAAAATCCTGTATATCTCTTGGGAAGACAGGTGGACAAATGTCAGCGTGCTGGAAGCAGCAAAGACCACCAGCACTGAAGCTCCTACGCCATCAACTCCGCTGGACTGGCCACATTGTCCGAATGCCCGATCACCGTCTCCTAAACCAGTTACTCTACTCCAAACTCAAGAACGGAAAATGGAATGTTGGTGGACAGGAAAAGAGATTTAAAGATGGGCTTAAAGCCAACCTCAAAAACTGTGGCATAGACACTGAGAACTGGGAAGCCCTGGCCCTTGAGCATTCTAACTGGAGGTCAGCTGTGACTAACAGTGCTGCAGAATTCAAAGAGGGACGAATGGAGGGCGAAAGGGAGAAATGCACTAAGAGGAAGGCCAACCCTGACTGGGACCGCCTTCTGTCTGGAAACCAATGTCCTCACTGTGGGAGAACTTGTGGATCAAGAATGGGGCTCCACAGCCACCTATGGACCCACCACCAAGATACCACATCTGGAAGACCATCATCCTCGAGCTATGAGGGATCGCCTAATAAGTAAGTATTATTATCTACAATTTTCTCTTGGATGAAAAAAAATAGTGGGGGCTTTATTCACATTTTTCCACTTTGTGGGCATCCTGTGTCCCTAAACGCAGCAAATGTGGAAGGACCACTCTAAAAGGTTGGATAGTAGGTAGCAGCCCCTGGTAAGAGCATCTGGGCTTTATAGACAACCACAATTCCAAGTTATATATGTGGGCATTGCAAGTCAAATCTTCCCCCTCCCCAACCTACTATCATCTCTGGCAAGTGACAGATAGTTTCTTAGTGTTCCACTGAGCTTTGATAGATGCTGGGGGAGTTAATTAAACTTCTTTCACCATGCATGAGGAAACACATATCTGCACTTTTCTTAGCTATTATCAGAATACCAATTGTAATGTTTTTCCCCCACTCCGTATGGTTCAGGACTTCGGGATTTAATTTAAAATGCACAGAAGGAATACGCTAGTCAAGCAGGTTATGACAGGAACAATTCAGAACGCTGAAGGAAGAAGGGGGGAAATCAAGAAGCTAGAAGAGAGAGCTGTAAATAATATCCCTGCTGTGCAATAAACAAACAAACCCATATTTTATCTCGTGCTGGATTTTAAATTATATGTTGTTGTTTTGCAGAGGGGGAGAGGGCAATCTCAGCTGGCAAGTGGAAGTGCAGTAAATGTAATTTTGAAATAAGTAAAAAAGCAGTATGTCAGGCAAGGGTGAACACTGGTATTTAGGATTCCTCGACTCGCGGGAGTGAAAGAAGAACGAGGTCTTGAACAAACCATTTGCTGCAGATCCATCCAAAACAAAAGCAAATGAGTCCTGAGAGAACTAGGGTTGTCAAAGTGAAAACCGGAGAGGGCTCATCTACCTTTAAAGGTTGTGTAGACAAAGGAATTCCATTAGGTATTACTTGTTATCTAGTTGAGATTCCTTCTTCTATACAACCACTAAAAGTACAGGAGCCTCTCCAGTTTTCTGTAGGGCAAATCTAATTTGCTATTGTTGCCTCTTGCCATGTAACATAGCTTACTGGGAGACTGCACATCCATGAGTCCAATTGGGCAGAAAGTGGCAGGCAATCCAGCATCACATATACTCCAGAGTCCTTCCATATTACACAAATACAGTGCTAAGATTCTAGTTTATTTGCCATGGCAACCTATAGAATCCTGGAATTTGCAGTTTAGGTGGAACATTAAGAACCCTCAGCCAGAGATCTCAAGTGCCTCACCAAACTATGTAATGGCTAGTTCATGCATCTAGCCATAGGGGAGAAGCATGAGGCTTGGATACATCCCATAATGAGCAGATCTGGATCTCACTGGGGTTTATATGGCCACCTTATACACATACAAGTTGAGCATCCCTTACACAGAATTCCAAAATCTAAAATACTCCAAAATCCAAAATTGTTCCCGTGGGTGACTGAGATAGTAACACTTGCTTTCAGATGGTTCAGTGCACACACATTTTGTTATAAAAATATTGTTCTTGAGGCTATTTGTCTAAGGTACGTTTATTTATTTATCGCGTCAGAAGCAAATTGAAGATACAGTTATAATGTATTTTTTAAAACATAAACAAAGTTAAAAATTGACATTATACTAGATTTCCTTTGACCAAAAGTTGGCCACTTCAAGTGCCTTTGGTGTTGCTGTGAGAAGGTTCTCCATTGTGCATGTGGCCAGGCTCAGGCTGCATTGTAGTCGTTGGTCTGTGGTTTGCTCTTCTCCACACTCACATGTCGTGAACTCCACTTTGTAGCCCCATTTCTTAAGATTAGCTCTGCATCTTGTGGTCCCAGAGCGCAGTCTCGTCAGTACCTTCTAAGTCGCCCAGTCTTCTGTGTGCCCAGGAGGGACTTTCTCATCCAGTATCAGCCATGGATTGAGGTTCCGGGTTTTAACCTGCCACTTTTGGACTCTCGCTTGCTGAGGTGTTCCTGCAAACATCTCTGTAGATCTTAGAAAGCTATTTCTTTATTC